ATATATATATATATATATATATATATGTATGTATATAGATATATATATATGTGTGTGTATGTGTGTGTGTGCGTGTGTGTGTGTTTTTGTGAGTGTGTGAGTGAGTGTGTGTGTGTGTGTATGTATGTATATTGCTCACATGTATGTCGTATGCCTTTCTCAACTGCTGACATGCGCGTGCCACACCTCCCTGTCCCATGCTGACATGTTTTAGGGTCTTTTTATCCTGTCTGTCCAGGTCGTACCACACAGCAGGCGAAGGGAGTGTATGGGCTGATGGGCGACTGCCGGTGGATTATTTCTGGGACGCCCATTCAGAACAGGTACGCACACAGCTCAGTCGATTCGGTATCAATATTTACAGACCTAGATATATCTCCAGGTCTATATATACCTACATATCCCTGTAGCCGCCTTCCTGTCTACACCACTTCGCCCACCGCCTGTTCGCCTGTTGACCCATTTAAACCCTAAAACCCTAAAATCTTAAAACCCTGGTAGACTGGACGACCTCTTCTCGCTGATTCATTTCCTGCAAGTGTCTCCGTACGACGACTACGCTCATTGGAACCGAGAGATCCTCAAACCATTCCATTCCACCGACACCGTTGCCAAGGAAACCGCCAAAGTCGCAATCAAAGCCATCTTGTCAGCGCTTATGCTTCGACGAGAGAAGTCGACGTTGGACGTCGATGGGAAGCCCATTGTGGTCCTCCCACCCAAGGTGTGTGCGCACTATATGACTATATATATATATATACCCACATATCTCTCCATTTTTATAACTGCAGTGAATATGAATCACTTGTCAGTAAACCGGTATAAAGCGGGTCATTTGAATTCCCTTTACTAAAACACGGTTTCCCCTTACTAAAACTCTATTTGTGCCGAACTTCTATAACAGACTGTCGATACTATGAAGATCACAGCCTCCGCTGAGGAACAGGACTTTTATACAGCGCTTTATAAAAGGTGTGTGTGTGTGTGTGTGTGCGTCTACTGTGATCAGCTCCACTTTGGGTTTACGTGGAATTAGATACACGGGCTTGAGCTACAATTGAATATATACAAAAGTCAATATAAAAATCAGATGGCCATTGTATACTCATCTGTGATGGATGTATTGACTTGTAGACGTCATGTGCAAAAGTCGATATATAATCAGGTAGTCATTGTATGCTTCTATCTAATGTATATAATTCTTGACTTCTTTATTTCTATCTGATATATATATATATAGATATATATATATATATCAGATAAATGTATGTATATTGACTTGTATACTTCTATAGTATATATATATATATATATGTTGATTTTTTTGTCTAATATTTATTTTTATATATTCAC